GTGTTGGGGTCAGGGGTTTTGGGCCTGTGCATGGGTTTTGGGGCCAGGCAGATCTGGGGTGTTGGGGCCAGCAGGGCACTGCTGAGCCCCAAGTGGATGCCCGCCCTCCTGCAGGCTGCGGCTGTGACCCACGGGGCACACTGGCCTCCCACTGTGCCAATGGCACCTGTGCCTGTGACCGTGGCACAGGAGCCTGCACCTGCCGGCCCAATGTTGTGGGCAAGAGCTGCGACCGCTGTGCACCCCAGTTCTGGACCCTGGGAGGTCCAGGGGGCTGCGAGCCCTGTGACTGCCATCCCATACATGCCCTGCACCCTGTCTGTGACATGGTGAGTTCCCCGGCACCCTGGCGTGGCTCCAGTGCCCTCCCGGGGCCTGGTGAGCCACCCAGTGAGCACAGCACTGTTGCTGCAGGTGACAGGACAGTGCCAGTGCCGGCCCGGGTTCGGGGGCCGCGTCTGCTCCCAGTGCCAGGAACACTACTGGGGAGACCCTGAGCAGGAGTGCCGAGGTGGGGGCACACTCCAGGGGCTGGAGGTGTGGGGGGAATCTGGGTGCATGGTGAGACTCTAGGGAGATGGGTGGAGACTCTGAACGTGGGACGCTGGGGACACAAGGGATTCAGGAGATCTTGGAGACATGGTGGGACCCTGGGGGCACAGAAGACCTTGGTGACACAGTGAGATGCTGGGGACATGGTGGGACTGTGGGGACATAGGAGACCCTGGGCATAGATGGGATTCTGGAGACACAGGGGAATATGGTGGGATGCTGGGAACATGGTGCCACTCTGGGGGAATGGGTGTCTGTGGGGAGGCTGGGACACACATCTGACTGTCTCTGCAGCCTGTGAGTGTGAGCCGCTGGGTGCCGAGAGCCCACAGTGCGAGCAGGACAGCGGGCAGTGCCAGTGCCGGCTGGGATTTGGGGGGCTGCACTGTGACCGCTGCCAGCGGGGCTACCAGGAGCCCTTCCCCCACTGCTTGCCCTGCCACCCCTGCTTCGGGCGCTGGGACCCGGCCGTGGGCAGCCTGCAGGACGGGCTGCGGCGCCTTGGGGCGCAGGTGCAGGCCCTGAGGGAGGGGGGATCCGCGCTCCCACTCAGCCCTCGTCGCCTGAGGGAGCTGGAGGAGGCCCTGGGACGTGTGGAACGACTGCTGGGCGAAGCGGACAACCCCAGTAGCCCCCTCCTCAGTGGACTGCCCGGGCAGCTGGACGGTACCAGGCAAGTGTGCGCATTGGGCTCGTGTGGGGGGACCCTCCTTTTGTCCCCTAAAAAAGTTTAAGACCCCATCCCCACCCAAAGAATGGAGCTGGACAACTTCTGGAGGCACCTCCAAGAGCTGGAACAACATCTGGACCAGTTGGCGCAGGCAGATGTGCGGCACCATGACCAGCTAGCTGGGCTGAGCCACAAGCTGGGGGGTCTCAACCGAACCACCTCCCATCTCCAAATCCTCCTCGGCACCGTAGCAACGACTGGATTCAGCGGTAAGAGCATCTGGCAAGGATTGGAGGGGTTGGTGGCAGCCATCCTGGCCAAACCCTGACACCAGCACCCTCAGAGTCTTACCGCAGCATCCTGGCATCGGCGGAGGCCTCGCGGCAGGCAGAGGTGGTGGCCAATGGCACAGCTGGTGAGCTGAGCAGGTCACAGGCGACACGG